CTGCCAAGTCCCTTCAGAAAATATCTTCCATTGTCCAACCCATGATCTGACAGCTTGTATCTTAAGCTTTCTTGGCTTCTGTGATTCCAAAAACGTCGACTCCTCACATTTTTCTTTTGACCAGTGTCTCTTAAGTTTAGTTGTACTGTCTCCAAGGGAAGCTGACGTGTCCTGTAGAACTTCTGTGTAGATTATGTTTTCCTTTCTGTCCTCCCTCTCTGGCCGGGTTTTGCTGGTTCTCACCTGGATAGCAAGTAATTAAAAAGACCATGGCCTGAATTGGGTTCATTTCAGTCCTCAAACTGACATCACTGCTCCTCAATAATTTGGAGAGACCTCTGAGTGCTGACTTTCCCATTTCCAATATATCTCTGGACCGCTGGGTGTTGATTGTGGATCTAAGAAAGATGAAGTCATTGACAGTTTCACTCTTTTCTCCATCTATCATGATGTTGCTTAAATGATAAGAGAAAGCCAAAAATATAAAACTTCTAGAAAAAAAAAAGATTCTTACCACTGAGCTGATTGGTAGTATCATGATAGATGATGAAGAGATTGAGATTATTAACACGTTGCCACAAATGATGGTAATACATAAAAAAAGTGTTTCTAAGCACGGTCATCAGATTAAAAGTGTGCAGCAACATGTTAACAGCTTTAGTTTGCTTGGCTCCACAATCAACACTCCTGACACCAGCAACCAGGAAATTAAAAGAAATACTGCAATGGGAAAGTCTACTGTTAGAGACCTCTCCAAAGTACTGAAGAGCAACAATGTCAGTCAGGAGACTAGGGTGCACCTGATACAGGCCATGGTCTTTGCAATCACTTGCTATGCATCAGAGAGCTGGACAATGACTAGAGATGATAGGAGAATTGATGCCTTTGAACTGTGGTGTTAGAGAAGAGTATTGAATATACCATGGACTGCTAAGAGAACAAACAGGTTTTTCCTGGAGAGGGTGAAACCAGGCTGCTCCTTGGAGGCAAGGATTCTGAAGCTTTGTCTGACATACTCTGGACATGTTGCAAGAAGGGACCAGTCCTTGGAGAAGGACTTCATGCTTGGGAGGGTAGAGGGACAGGGCAGGAGAGGAAGACCCTCTATGAGATGGATTGATTCAGTGACTGGAGTAGTGGGGGTAGGTGTG